ACTTATATAAATACATCATTAGTTTAAATTTTGTCTATATATATATATTGTTTTTAGTCCATTTGTATCAGATCAGAACAAAGGGTTAAAATACCAAGAGGAAGGAGCGGAGGGTTCCTCCTCAAGGTCAGCCACTCAAATTCACCAGAGCATCCATGGGAGAGCAGATCTGGCAGTCTGCTCATAAGAGGAATTCAGCCTAAAACCCCCATAAGGGAGTTTTATTCTACACTAAAGATAGCAATAGTCATAACAAACTCAACAGTTACAAGTAAGTATACAATAAGGAAGGGTTAAGACACAACAAATCATCTATTGTTATTTATTCCCATTTTCTTAATAATAACATCTCAAGTGTCAGTTTAACATAGTTGTTGTTGTTGTTATGTGCCGTCAAGTCGCTTGCAACTCATAGCAACCCTATGTATAACAGCCCTAAACTCTGCTCTGTCCTGTGCCAATCACACTGTCTCCGATACACCCATCCCGATTACCCCAGTTACTGAATCAATCCACCTCGTAGAGGACCTTCCCCTCCTGCGCTGTACCCCCACCCTACCAAGCATGATGTCTCTAAGGATTGGTCCCTCCTTACAACATATCCAAAGTATGTCAGATGAAGGCTCAGGATCCCTGCCTCCAAGGAGCAGCCCAGTTTAACCCTCTCTAGGCTGAACCTGTTTGTTTTCTTAGCAGTCCATGGTTGGTACCCTCAATACTCTTCTCCAACACCAAAGCTCAAAGGCATCAATTTTCTTTCTATCCTCCTTAGTCATTGTCCAACTCTCTGACGCATAAAAAGTGATTGCAAAGACCATGGCCTGTATCAGACACACCTTAGTCTCCAGAGTGACACCATTGCTCTTCAGGACTTTGGAGAGGTCCCTAACAGCAGACTTTCCCATCGCAATATGTCTTTTAATTTCCTGGCTGCTACTGCCAAGAGTTTTGACTGCGGAGCCAAGCAAACAAAAGCAATGAACAATCTCAATCTCTTCACCATCCATCCTGATACTATTAATTGGTCCAGTGGTGAGAATCTTTGTCTTCTTGATATTGAGCCTCAATCCATATTGAAGACTGCAGTCCTTGACCCTCTGCAGCAAGCGCGTCAGGTCCTCCTCAGTTTCAGCAAGCAGGGTTGTGTCATCTGCATAACACAGATTGTTGATAGATCTTCCACCAATCCTGGTGTCACATTTCTCCTCATATAGCCCAGCCTCCCGGATAATCCGTCCTGCATACAGGTTGAAAAGGTATGGAGACAGGACATATCCCTGGCGTACTTACCTAACTAAAATTATTATACTGACCATTCTTCCTTGCTGTATATATTTGACTACATACAGTTTAACTGTGATATTTTCAGAAGAGCTGTATAAGAACTTTGATCAGTGTTTTTAAAGGGAGAACATGGTCTATCATCTTACAAATCACTGCTTAAAATGTTGGCAATAAAAGAACTAAGAACTGTACAATGGATATACAGAAAAAACCTGAGTACTCAATTACCACATGAGGGCAGTAAGGTCTGAAAAGCCATATGTAATTTTTGACGCTGTTGCTAAGTGCCATCGAGTTGACCAATGGTCTTAACAAATCTGAACTCTATCCTACCCTGCACCATCCTTACCATTTTCAACACATTTGTGTACTTTGCTGCAGATGCTGTATCTGAATGAGGGACTTCCTCTCCTTTGCTGATCGATCCTCCACTTTTCCAAGTATGATGTCCCTTTCCAAGGAATAGCCTCTCCTAACAACATGTCATTGTTCAGGGAGCTCTGGTGGCCTAGTGGCAAACTGCACTATAATACCAAAGGCACACAGTTTAAGGCCACCAGATGCTCCCCGAGAGAAGGAAGGGCAATCTCCCCCCATGAAATTAACTGCCTCTGAAAACCCACCAGAGGGTCAGTTATGAGTAAGTTCCAACTCTTACTGTAAACATCAATTCATTGTTCAGCTCCCAGTGACTTGAAAGCCTATGCCTTGAATCAGGAGTAGCTTCGCCTTTAAAGTGACATCATTGTTCCTTGGGAGTTTGGAGAGGTCCCTGATAGCAGACTTTCCCAATGCTATATTTCTCCTGACTTCTAAAAATTTCTATTTGATATGTTTCCTTTTATGCTATTAATTAAATTGAAGGCTAACACTATTTAATGTTTTCCTCTAAAATTTTTACTGTTTGCAGCATGTATGTACATATGCATGTTTTGTTTCCTTGCTTTTTAGCACTGAAATTTATGATCAGTCTGAGATCCATATGGGTAGGAGGTATAAAATAATCTCACTTTGCCTCTAAATTATTAATCCTTTCCAAATCTGAAATTTTGATATTATATTCACTTAAAAAATGTAATGTAGATAAATTGCTGCAATTAGGTGTCAACTATGACTCAAACGGCCCTATGAACAAAGATTTGAACTCTGTCCTATCCCATCCTCACACACAGGCCCATTGTTACAGTCACTGTGTCAAGCCATCTGAGAGTCTTCTCCTCCGCTCTTCTCCTCTGTCACTGACTCTCTACTATTTCCAGCATGATGTCCTTTTCTAAGAACTAGCCTTTCCTGACAATATGCCTCAAGTATGTGAGACAGTTTCACTATTCTTGCCTCCAAAGAGCATCCTGATTGCACCTCAGCCAAGACAAAACTGTTCTTTTAGCTGTCAATGCTGTTAGGGCCCACTGAGTCAGAAAGCCACAGCTGACCCTCCAGCAGGTTTTCAGAGACAGTTAATCACATGGGAAGAGAATGCCCATCTTTCTCCCGTAGTGTGGCTAATGGAGTCAAGTCATGTGGGTTGGCAGCATAACTTATTACCACTAAGCCACTAGAGCTACCTTTAGCAGTCTGCAGGATATTCGATTTTTTTTGCCAACAACACAATTAAAGGTCATCAATTCCTCTTTGTCCTTTCTTAATCATTCAGTAATCAATTATATAAAATACAATATATACAAATGATCATAAATGAAATCCTATAAAATAAACAGGGCATGAATGAAATCCATACAAAACAGGGGGAAGGGGACGACACACAACAATGATTTGAATTTTAAGTCTCTCTGGTGCCCTCATCCATAGGAAGTGGTGCTGCTAACCACAAATGCGCCTCTCTTCTAGGTCCAATTTCTAGTTCTAGCTGCTCTGCGGTAAAAGATGGGCAATCTCCTCCTGTGCAATTTACAGCCTCCAAAGAACTGCTGGAAGATTGATTTTCATGAACGGCAGTGTGTTTTGAGTTTTTCAGCTGATTCCAATGGATATCTTTAGGAAAAACGTGATAAAGAATTCAGGGACATCATTTACTTTCAAGTGGTACAAGTAAAATGTGTACATGTGCATAAGCATGTGTGTATATGTGTTAGAACTCTAACTGGACAACTGAGGGGATCAATACTTTGTACCATTCTTGTATCTTTTCTCTAAATTTTACAAATGAAAAGGAGAGTGAAAAAGAAAAATCGAAGCTTGTTAGTGAAGAAGAGAGGACACGGGTCCAAGGAAAGGAGGCCACCAGTTGCTCCGCAGGAGAAGGATGCGCAATCTCCTCCCATGAAATTAAATGCCTCTAAAAACCTGCCGAAGGATCAGCTATGGATTGGTCCTGACTCGACGGTACACAATAACAACATGTATCATAAATAATACATCTTACCTTTTACAAAAGAGAAATTACAGGTATCACATTCTACACACAAAAGAAACGGTAAACTCAAATGTTAAAAATTGATTTGTAGATATGGACACCTTAAAGTAAATGAGCTAAACCAATGTAAGAGCTCTAAATAAGGGGGGGAAATAAAAGAATTAAAATAGATAATAGAGAAAAACATTAAAAGCTTTCTAATGAACCTTCTCTTAGTGTTCACTAGGTGGTATAGTCTATATAAAGTGGCACTGCTAATTCAAAGGCAGTGCATTTCTGACCATTCAAATCTATAAACTCTTTGGGGGGAAAGATATGAAATCTATCATGTCAACAAAAGCCTCTAAAAACCTACTGGAAGGTCTGCTATGAGTTGTTTCCAATTCGATAACAATGAATTGTACTAAGTTCAATGAACAAGTCATAAGGCTGAAAAATGATTTTGTGACTTTCATATTTTCATGACCAAAAGGAGCAGGTCCTAAGCATGCGCAATACAATCTATTGAGCCCTGTGCCTCATTTCACTTATTAGTCCAAACCACATCTACTTTCAAGATGTAACTGAGAGATTATCTTTTCGATAAAGACTCAATGACATAATTCCACATATTCTTTTTTCAACTCACTCAGACTACCCAGCTCAAGTATTCTCTCTGTGATCTCCTAAATTTAGCACTTCAGCTGAACTTCTGGAAGATTTTTGTTTTGCTAATTTAAATAAAAGGAATTCACATCCATTTATCTTCCCTGGTAGTGTTGTGGGTTACACATCGGGCTGCAAATACCAGCAATGTGGACTCACACACAAAGAGGAGGCACAGGCTCCAGTAAAGCTAGCTCCAGTAAAGTTAACTGCCTTGAAAAACTCCTGGAGCAGTTCCACTGTGTTCACTAAGTTACTATCAGCAGGATCCAACTCCCTCCCCATATTAATCAGACTGCAAGTTCTTTATGTGCAAAAATTCAAGCTTGGTTCATCCTTACTTTTTCAACACCTAAGCCTCAACACAAAATATTGCAATATTTTTTTGAATAATGATCAAATTAACTAATGTTCACAGTGATACTCCTTATCCAATTAGAAAAGATTATAAATAATTATAGCACACCTTTCAAAACACACTTTAAAAATAAGTAGCTACTCCAGGCCATAAACACAGTTCATCAGGATGCATTTCCCTAAGAGTCTATAATGCTAAAATTTTTACTACACTCTGTAGTTCTAAAGAAGAGATGTACCGACTTTTCACTAAGTAGATGCTCATTTTAAATCTGGAAGAGGAAAAAGAAAGAAAGAAACAGAAACTTTTGGACTCTTTTTTTTAAAAGATAACAAGTACCTCTTCAGTTTCAGGAGCAACCTGGGAATCAGTAATCTCATCTAATTTATCTTCAGCAACATAGTCTTCCTGCTTTTGCATCCCTTGTTGCCCACCATAAGCCTGCAAGTATTCTTCATCCTAACAGCCATTAAAGAGAAAACAAGTTTTTTCTCATACATCTTTTTGGGTTGACTGGTTGTGTTTGTTTTGTTTGTTTTTTATTTAAGCATTTTTCATCTTTAGAGCTCATGTTTAATTATTCTAGCAAATTTTAGTATGACAATTACAACTGGTCACAAGCAACACAAATCTAGACTGCAACCTCCTCTAAGTATTAATGAGAACAAAGCACATCATGCAAACTCAGTGCTAAGGGTTAGTGACATGAAGTTCTACTTCAAATGTAAAAAAATATAAAGAAAAAGGGGTAGTCTGAAAAAGAAATCTTGCATGCACTATCACAAAGGAATTTGGTAGCAATAAGGAAGCAAAACTTACACCAAATTCACCCAATTTTTTATGGTAGTAAAAACAACAAAACTACAGGTAATTCATTATCTGTGTTGTGGGTGTTTTGTTTTTTTAATTGACTGCTTGGTGTTTTTTGTTTGGTTTTTTTTTAAAAAAAAAAAGTCCCACATTAATATCAGTTCTCACTTACATGTGAAAGTTGATTACAAGTTTTGCATAAAATATCATAACACAGGCAAATGTTCATTCAGGGTACCCAGAAAGAAGCAGGCACTCAGTCTGGCTGGGAAATTATTATAATTGTTTAAAAAAAAAAGAAGGCAGACCTCTATTGGTACTACTGACAAGGAACAACACTGAAATGAATTTTTTTCTAGACACTTTTCCACTCAGTTTACTCTATCCCTTGTTCCTATCCACTAAGAATGACCAGTAAGATGGTTTTAAGGCAGACAACAAAGAATAAACAATCTAAGGAATCTAACAACCTATTATATCATATACAAGAGCCTCACCTACAACCTCCAAAGAGAAACCGGTATATTTACAGTGGAAAAACTATTTCCGTTCCCACGGTCACCTCTCAAGACCATCTGGATACACTGCATTTTACTTTCCAAAGGAACTGCATGCTATTAAAAAGAGCAACTACCAATGCCAACTAGAAGACTTGTCAAATTTCAAATAAGACAACAATTTTAATCACAAATTTCAGCCAAGTTACAATGTACTATATGTAACAGGATTCACACTTGAAAATCTGATTACCCCTTAAATATTAACTGAAATTGTTTCTCCAGACATGTTTTATGACATCTCAATCAACATTAACTTTAAAAAGCCTAAACTGACTGTAATTATATAATTGACCCAACAAATAATTTTCAAATATTCTATGCATATTCTTTACCAATAGAAGAACAAAGCTTTCAAAACAAATCACATTTCACCCTTATAACAAGTACCAGAAAAACCTGCAAAGCTCAAAGATCTTCTTATATTTTGGCAGAATGAACAGCAGAATTGTACAGTTATTTCATTGTCTTTAACTTCAGGTTCATCAAATGTAATTGTCCCTTTCAATTGCCCTGACTGCATATGCCTTAGGTGTTGGGCTGCTAAATGAAACATGGGCAGTTCGAATTCAACAGCTGTTCTGTGAGAAAAAGATGGTCAGTCCCCCCCCCATAAAGATGTACAGCTTCAGAGGGACCCAATAAACGGTTGCCTTGAGTCCAAACTAACTGGAGGGCAGTGGCTTAAGGTTTTTTTTTTGGGGGGGGGGGAAGAGGTGTGTGTGGTGATGGTAGTGGTGAAAGCAGACTTCAAGTCACTCACTAAAGTCCTTCTATGTGATTTCACACTGAGCTCTAACTGAAAATGCTCATGACCAGCAATTCATAAAGTTCAACTCTAGTTTTAAGAGTATTAGCTAGGACAAAGCGTCACCATTAAAAAAAAAAAAAACAAAACAACAGTGCATAAATAAAATACTACAAGGATACAGAGAGATTAAAATCTACTAATGTGTTCATTAGTATAATAATGAAAATGTAACTATTTGTTCATCAGGGATAAAGACAGTAAGAGAGGTGTCAACTACAGGGTAAGGAGTTGGATGTTTCATGGTTTCTATTTATCTACTCCCATCCAAAGAGCTAATTCAGATGTTGTGACTGTGGTTCCTAGAAACGGGGGGGGGGGGCGGCAAGAGAAGTAACTACACAGGTCTTCTACAAGTGCAGGGTTGACCAAGATTCTCCTACTTGGCAGTACACACTTACTTAAATCAAGTACCTCCACAATGAGATTTGCCTCATTAAGTTTTAAGTTCCCTGAAGGCAGGGACCATATTTCATAAATATGTTTCCAGTGCTTATAAAATAAAGATTTGAACTACTGAATTTTTAAGTGCAAAGAATTCCAAAGAATATTGAGTAACTAATTTTATTGGTGTTAAGGAGAAATATTATAGAAGTTAGGGAATAAGTTGGCATATTTTCAAAAGATGTTCATTTAACTTTCAAAATACATTTTATATTTCAGTATCCTACTTTAAGAAATCATATCAAATAAACCAACAAATCAAAGTCATACTAGTAAAAGTTTTATATATATACAAAGTTATCTAAATATCAAGTTCTCACATGTATTTTACATGATTCTATTTACCAACAACATTTTTTAATTATTGATTTATTTTTTGCAGCCTTGCTTGTATAGTAATAAAATCACTACTACCTGGCATGAAAACAAGTATGCCTCAAACTCGGTAATTCTGAGGCTCTATTTAACAATTCATCTCTTTCTAAATTACTTATCTACAGGAGTGATCAAAATTCAGCCGTTTTCTAACATGTTTTATAAATGAAAGGGTGCTCTGAATGAAAATGTAAGGCAGAATAATAACTCTTCTCACCACTGTTATTTATCTCAGCAGGCCCTGCTGCACCAGAAGAATCCTGTTAGGTGCCATCCAGTCAACTATGACCCTATGAACAATGGATCTGAGGCTTGCCCTATCCTGTACTATCATTATCGTCTGATAAAATCAAGCCCATTACTACAGTCACTGTGTCAATCAATCTGAGTGCCTTTCGCTCTTATGATAACCCTCCACCTTTCCAAGTATGACGTCTTTTCCTGAAAAGCATCAACTAAGATTCCAGTATGCCACCTAAGATCAGTTATTTCCCTCATACATTTTATTAAACACTTATTTAAAAGCAAGTATCTTTTAGTGAAAAATCATTAAGACAGATGAGCAATCTCTCACTAGCACCTTCTGACATTCATCTTAAAAACTACCTACCAGCATGATCTTTCGAAATAAAAAAATCAGTACAATCTTAGCCTCCAGCTTACAGATAACAAATTATGCGACATTTCCTAAACTAACCTCCAATCTCTTTATTCAGGTTTAGACACTTCTCAGTTACAACAAGGATGAATGAACAGACATCAATTACTCTGGAATATTAGCACCTTAAAAATGTCTTTAGCAGGTCAATAATCTTTTCACCTTAGAAGGACTTTATCAGATCTTGTCTAAAGCCTGGATAAAAGCTTCTGCATTAAGTACTTCTAACAAATGACAGTGTATCTCCACCACACAAAGCTGTTTTCTTCCTTAAGGGTGCAATCCTCAAGGTCATGATTCTTTGAAGCCTTCCAGAATGACAAAGGAGCACAACCCCAGGCCAAACAAGCTGTCAACACAAACTTTGTCATAGCTCAGATAAAGAAACTGGCAGACAGTGATAATAAGGTCTAATTTCCCTCCCTCCCTAGGGAGATAGATAGATTTCAAATCAGGCTAACACACCTATGCACAGAGGCAATGTTATCTTTAGCTATATAAAAGAAAAAAAGACTCACTGTAAAGTCATCTAAAGATTCACTGACTTCTATGTCTAGCACTTCATCATTGTAAAGTTGTTCCTCTTCTTGCTCTTCTGAATATTCTATCTGCTCTTCTGTCAACTCAGCATCTTGGGCTTCATATTGTCCTTCTTCTGGGTACTCTTGAGAATACAATTCCGAGCCATCAGATTTGTGATAAATGATTTCATCTTCTCCTTGTTCATATTCAGATTCCTGTTCTCCAGACTGGTCATTAGTGTTGTCAGACAGTTCAAATGATGGTACCATGCTAGCTGTGGTATTAAGACTAATTGTGATACCCTGAGAACTAGAGGAAACAAAAATACAAAGAAAAGTGTCCAATTAGAAAAGAGTTCGAAATAAATTAGTTGCAACAAAAAACGCAATCCAAAACTGGTGAAAAGTTATTTCTGCTGATAAACCAGCACTAGTTATGCCATCACCAACTGAAAGCAAAGCTTAATACGTGACAGTGGCATTATGCCCACATCTTACGCATACCCAGCCACTACTTATCATCAATTGCAGCTTATCTGACCAAGAAAATCTTATCAACCAGACAGTAAAAAAGGCCTGATTGGCAAAAGTTCAGGACTGAAATTAAACAAACTATATTTCCTTTTTAATTTCAGAATGAAAGGGATGGTGTCTGTTTTATAAGATTTCAAATGAAAAAATAGAAAACTATAGTAAAAAAACTTCAAAAATAATTGTTCTTTTTAAAAAACTTATGATTCAGGAAATATATATCTATTTTAAAAAATAAAAATATTTTTAAAAGAAAGGTAAGGAATAAGATGTTATGAAATATGTATGCACTGCAATTAACTAATCGATGGCAATTAATGTTATAAAACATCTCTATGAAAAGATTATATGAAAAACGAGTAACTTGTAAATCTTCACTCACATGAAAACAAAGCAAAATGTGTATGTATGAATGAATGGAAAATCAATACACTTTGCCATGTTTCACTCAAATCGGAATTAATAAATAAATATATTCTCAAACCATGTAGGATAGATAAACCCCTGAAACTATAACCCTGAAATAATCTTCAAACCTTAAGCCAGAACATTCACTGAAGTCTTCATATAACTTAATAATTTAGCTTAACTAAAAAAGAGAAAAGTCTGCTGTGAGCATTAGGTTCTTTTAAGAACCATTTATGTGGGACTGAATTACAAAAGCAAATTAAAAATTAAAAACATTTGGAGGCAGTTTCAGTGAAGATAAAGCAGAAAAAATGGGTAAGAAAAGCTACAAGACCACTGAGAATGCTCTCAACGTCACCCAACTGTACATACAGAAACTGTATTTTGCTGTTTAATTGTCAACAACAGCAAAATAAAATTTAAGGAGAAGAACACGTAAAAATATGTTCATATAAAATTTATATTAGTCACACTTTCAATTAACAAGACAGTAAGTTATTAAGAGAGCAGCCAAAAAAAAAAAAAATCAATGCATTGCCACCGCACTGCACTCTTCTATCAGCTTCCAAGGCTGGAAATCTTAAACAGTGAAAAACTGCTCCATCTTTCTTCCAAAGAGCAGCAGTGGCTGTGTTTAAACTGCCAACCTACCTACCATGCCAACAGGGATTAAGACAACAAAAATTCAAGATAAAAACACATTCTACTCACTAAATCAGAACTGCTAAATGCAAATACTCAGATGCAAAAGAACATTATAAACGCAAAAATTTATGAACAAATCCAAGTTCCTATCTATTAAATTTCCAATCTTAACAAAATCAATACTCTAGATTTTAATATTCTGTGGCTGAAAACTCCGAAGATACACCTCAAGAGCAATCTAACTCATCAAAAATAAACAAACTATAATAATGGTGGTCAAAGGAAAAACCAGGAAGGTTTACCCAACTGATTAAAATTTTATTTTTATCAGTAAAAATAACTTTCCATTAGAAAATGTGTTAGAAATTTATAGTTGGATAATAAAGAATATTAATCACATTTATAACTAGGAAACATATGCTTCTCTTTTTCCCAATAAATATTTTCTCAAAAATCATATTTTAAAAATAGTCTATCTACCAGAGATAATACTTACCTCCTCTTTTCTACCTTACTATCTCAGCAGAAATATATTACTACATTCAGATAGTTAAGTAGAGCTGCCCAAATTTCCAAAATAACTAAGCTAACAGATGTGTAAAAATAAAAACTGCCTGTAATGAAAACAAAATCAGCAACACCAAATTGTAATCAACACTACTCACAGAATCCAAATTTACTGCCCAAAATCCATATAAAGTAATTCTTTAAAATACTAGTACATAATCTGCACTGAGCTCTAATACCTAAAACTCAAGAAGGCCATCAAATCTTCTAAGATTTACACTAAATCAAAAGTTTCCCTTCGGCGAGCTCTGGTGGCCTAGTGGAAAGAAGCTGCAACTACAGTCTCAGAGGTGCATGGTTCAAATCCACCAGATGCTCTGCTGGAGAAGGAGGAACAATCTCCTCCTGTACAAGTCAGATCTGATTTAACGGTACACACAAAAAATAATGAAATAAAGTTAAAAAAAAAAGTTTCCCTTCCTGATAAAAAAGTAAATTTAGAATACAATTATACTAAAAATATACAAGCATATTATTCAATTATATACCATTGTAAGCGCAAATTAAAAAGTTTCTATTATTTCAGTAAAAGACTATAATGCAGCATTACATCACGTACCTGAAATTTTCTTCATCTTCATTATCACTCTGTAAGAGATCATCATTTAGCTCTTCATCTGACAAGTCTGATTGATTCTAATTAAAATAAGAAATCTAATTAATGCATGTCACATCCATAAGAAGATGTTACAGAAGTGCAAAAATACAGTGAACTGTTTCTAGTCTATATTATTAGAGCATTTGCCACCCAGACTGTTCATATAGTTTAAATATTACAAATTGAGCATCAAGAGATTTCACAAGTGGTATAAAAATTGTTTTAATCCATTTCCGTAATAGCTTGCCTCTGGAAACCCTATGAACCTGGAGAAAAGATAAAATTAACAGAAGTGTTAAGGACTTTTGTTCACAGGGTCGCTATGGGTCACCTACAACTAGACAACAATAACATCAATAGAGAGAGAGATCAGTTGGCCTAGTGAACAGAAAGTGATGCTACCAAGCCAAAGGTGGAGTACTTTTAATCCACAGCCCTCAGGCCTGTTTGTCATTGTTTTTGTTCAAACATTCTTCTAGGCCGTATAGCCCTGGTGTGTCTACTTGCTGTACAGAGGTAACTTGTGGCTGCTGTGAAGCTGAACACTGTGACACTAATGTGTCAAATGTGTTCATGGTTACCCATGGCAGACAGTGTTTAAGGGAGTTCCCCGGGATCCACTTCCGTAAAACCTTGCCTCCGGAAACTCTATGAACCTGGCGAAAGGATGAAAGTCACAGAAGTGTTGAGGACTTTTGTTCATAGGGTCGCTATGAGTCACCTATGACTCGACAGCACTTAACAACAACATAATAATTGTTCTAGACTCATTATTTATAGGTCACAGCAAATTAGAACAGAAATTTAAAGTATACTGATTATACTTATTTTGATTTCTAAAATGAGGAGGAAGAGTCCTTGGGTGAATTCCTAAAAACAGTAAGTGCTTTCATACATAAAAGAGTGATATATTTATACTTTGTTCACATTTAATACAAAGTATAAACATCTCCCATCAACAAAGGAATGGATAGAGAATACTATGTTACCTAGAAAAACAAGGAACTCATGCAATATTATTCAAAATGGGTGACCCTGGAGGACACTATGCTGAGTGAAATATCTCAGTCACAAAAAGGACAAATACTGCATAGTGCCACTGTTGTAGAATGGGACTGACAGCAGGGTTGGGGTAAGACTGAGAAAAACTGGATAAATTATGTATACTGCATTGAAACAGATGAGGGAGAGACAGTTTAAAAGCAATATATGACAGGGTATTATGGTTATCACAAGAATGAAGGTTGCATAGTGGAGTGTACTTGGGGTGGGAGGGGAAGTGGATTGTATACCAATGAAAGAATTTTTCTTTTACTTTTCAAAGAGAGGCGTGAAGTGGGGGGGGAGGAAGGGTGGGCAGGGAGACAAGTGCAACAATTAATGAATGGAAATCCAAACTCTCTGTAAATGTTCATTAAAATAAGTAAAAAAAAAATTTTTTTTTTTAAATCTAAAGAAACTTTGGTAGTTTCACACAACGTAATAGTACTTTGTAAATGGTTTATACACAGATAAAACTAATCTTGGAGGTTTAACAGAGATGAGGAGGGAGAGAATTGAAGGGGAGAGGAGAAGAACAAAAAAAAAGAAGAAAAATTCTTAAAATATGATAAAGAATATTCACACAAAAAATATCTTTTTTAAAAATAAGTACATGTTCAATAACTAGATCACAAACTGAAATGGTAGGGGATATAATAAAGCTTGGGGGTTTTGAATACAGGTAATATTACTAGCCCACATTCTCACTCCAGTTCTTGGCAATGCTGAATATCCACATCACTAAGTAGAAATGAACCAAATTAAGACAGTTCCAGATTACACTAGACTTAAGATATATTTTTCAGTAGCTTAGAAAAGGGAAAAGTAAAAAAAACAAAAACAAAAAAAACACACCAAACTTAGCTATTTTCTCCCCCACTAAAATGGTGGATGCATAAATTAGCACCCATATCTCTCTGAAAGACAGTCAAGAAAGACGCACATTTTCTCTCATTAAAGGAGGCATTAAGAGAAACAAAAGAAAAAACTGGTATCTGTTGCTATTTAAGTCATGAAACAAAATCTCACAATTTTATTTAGTATGAGTATTTTAAAAATTTAACCATTCAAAAGAGATTGTAATTCATTCAGGAAATGTCTACTTTCATGTTTTCACTTAAAAGTATCTGTCAAATATCACTGGGCCAGCAGTATTTCACCATCCTCCCCTTGCAAAAGAGAGCAGTATGTGTTGTGGTGGACCTGATGCAACTTAAATCTCATTTTTTCAATTATTCAGATTTACTCTTTAAATATCTTCTGAACTAGGTGACTAAAAGGCATGTTGTTGTTGTTGCTGTTGTTGTTATTGTTGTTGTTGTTGTTATGTGCCGTCGAGTGACTTGCGACTCATAGTGACCCTATGTACAACAGCCCTAAACTCCGCTCTGTCCTGTGCCAATCGTAACTGTCTCTGACACTCCCATCCCAATTACCCCAGTCACTGAATCAATCCACCTCATAGAGGGCCTTCCCCTCCTGTGCTGTCCCTCCACCCTCCCAAGCATGATGTCCCTTCCAAGGACTGGTCCCTCCTTACAACATGTCCAAAGTATGTTAGATGGAGCCTCAGAATCAGACATAGGGGTTAATAAAAAACCATCCCCTTTACTAGCAAAGTGAGACTACAAAGTTACAACTTAATCTGGGGGCTAAAACTGTGTTTTAAATTATATACTGATAAATTGGGACCAACTGTTTTCTTAGGCAAGCATAGTTAAGGAGGGACAGGACGCAAGAGAGTAGCATAGACTTCCAAGAAAGTGATTCAGAGAAGTGGGCCAAGCTTTTACTAGGTGTCACTGAATTCATTTGACTGACTGCAATCCTATCAAAATCCTGCCAGACATATGACATCCACAGAATTTTTCCACCATGTTCAAAGACACTGTTGCAGTTACTGTGTAAACTCATGTCCTTGAGAGTCTTCCTCTTTTTTATTGACCCACCATGACCTTTCCAAGGACTGGTTCTTCCTGACAACATGCAGTATTAAATGGATGCTTCACCATCCAAACTTATAAGCAATATCCGAGCTGAATTTCTTCCTAGATCTGTTTGTCCTTTTAGTAGTCCATGGAATATTCAATATTCCTCACCAATACCACAATTCAAAGGCATCAGTTCCTCATGGTTTTTTCCCTTTTCACTGCCCAATTTTCATACGCATACGAAGCAATGGAAATATAATGATCAGGCACACTTTAGTCTTTAAACTGACATCTCTTCTCTTTAGCGTTTTAAAGAGTTCACTGACAGTAAGGAGATTTTTCCAATACAGTGTATCTTTTTATTTTTTATCATTACCATAGGTGGTGACTGTGAATCAAAGCAAAATAAAATCACTGACAATTTCAGTCTTTTCTCAATCTATCATAATGTTGCTTACTAGGATTTTTCTTTTCCTGATGTTAAAGTGTAACTCATATTGAAGTCTGTTCTCTTTGATTTTCTGCTCTAAGTGTTTGAAACAGTCTTTACAGCAAGTAAGTTTGTGGCATCTACATAATGTAGATTGTTAATGAATCCTCCTCCAGTCTGGATCCCATCTTCTTGAGGAATTTGCTCAGCATACACAAGGAATAGGGAACAAAAAAGGACCGTCATCTCTGATATACATCTTCCCTGATTTTAAACCATGCCATTTACCTTTGTTCCGTTCAAACAACAGCTTCTTGGCCTCTGTACAGGTTTTGCATGAGCACAACTAAGTATTGTGGAATTTTCATTCTTATCAATCATAGTTTATTAAGATCTACACAGCTCAATGCCTATCTAGTCACTGCCTAGATAGTAAAACCTAAGAATACATCTGTCTGGTATTCTCAAATTTCAGGCAAGATCCACTTGATAGAAACAATATTTCATTTCATGGGCTCCCCTGAATCCAGTTTGGAATTCTGGCAATTTTCTGTTGTTTTTAAATAATCTTAAGGAAGATTTTACTTGTTTCTAGTAGTAATGATATTGTTCACAGTAATTTCTACTAAATCACCTATTTGGGGGATGAGAACAAATAAGTATCTCTTCCAGTCAGCTGTCTGGGTAGCTGTCTTCCAAATTTGTTGCCCCAAGCTCCTGAGCACGTCTTTTTGTTGAAGCCTCATTTGGTATTTCTACTATTACAAAAGAAACTTGGCCACTATCAAAAAGAAGCTTGTGTTTTCCATCTATATTGAAAAATCCTGACCCAAACTACTGTAAGAGTAGTAGGAGGATAGTAATAGGAGGAGGAAGAGGAATTATGTCTAGCATAGGGGAAATTAAAATTGTTAATAATTATTATAGTAGAATCTTTGAAAACAATATTATAGTAGAATCTTTGAAAACAAGCGCAAGGTAAATTATGATATATCAAATTTGTGCAAGACTATAAATACAATTTAGTAAAGATATTTTGCTGTTAAGCTGTCACAACAATAAACCAAGATTTCAGTTGATTTTTATGTGATGATTTAATAATAACTCTTGTTGCTGTCTGTTGTTATGTGAGTCATTTGCAACTCATAGTGATACTATGTATAACAGCTCTGAACCCTTCTCTACCCTGAGCCAACTTTTACCATCACTGACACACCTATCCCCATTTCCCCAATCACTGAATCAATCCATCTCATCAAGGGTCCTCTCCTGCACCATCCCTCCACCCTCCCAAGCATGACGTTCCTCTCCAAGGACTGGTTCCTCCTTGCAACAAGTCCAAAATATGTCAGGCAAAGGAGCACCCCAGTTTAACCCTCTCTAGGCTGAACCTGTTGGTATATTCAATACTCTTCTCCCACACCACAGCTCAAAGGCATCAATTATCTTTCTATCATCCCTAGTCATTGTTCAGCACTCTGATGAAAAGCAAGTAATTGTGAAGACCATGGCCTGGATAAGGCACACCTTAGTTTCGAGAATGACATTACTGGTTTTCAGTACTCTCGAGAAGTCCCAGATTTTCTAAGTCAGTGTAAAATTCATCTTTTGATTTCCTGGCTGCTGGCAGCAAGAA